CAAATGAATCAGATGGTTAAGCTCCCATCAATGGGATATGACTCAGTCACATCAGGGATAAAAGACAGTAGCCATCATGGTCAAGTGTGCTTGCTAGCCAGTCAAGGGTGGGTCTTGGTACACCCCTTTATGCAAAAGGCGTTTCTTGCTGAGCTACTTTTCCAGTGTGCTCCTTTATCCAGCAATGGCATTATTCTTTCTTTCTAATTGACTTCTTGGACTCGACACCTGAACCAGATGCTCCCACGGCATCACCCGTACAACTGCACAGGTTGCTCAGATGTAAATCCAATGGTCACTGAATGAGAAATAAAGAAATATTGGAGATTTTAAGCATAAATTCCTCCTTCCAAAATTCTAAAACTATCTAACCTTGTCTTGACATGGCTTTGGGTCAGACATCTATACCTAGGAACAGAACCCAGTGATACAAAGGGAGCCAGTACCCCCCCTCCCCCAGTCCTTTCTTGTTGCTGTCCACCATCCTTATAAATAAATAAAAACAATAAAGCCCTCTACTTTGAGAAGGAGATCACTGAGTACGAGGAGGAAATACAAAGTAAAATTACTATACACCAAAGCAAATGAACCAGGCTTGACATGTCAAGGAGCAGGGAGAACTCATCAGACTCTGAAGGCTATTGCCTTAGTAACAACTGGGACCGGGCAAGAATTTCTAAAACTAATATTCAAGCATTCTTGGGCATCATTTGGCGAGGCACAGCATTGAAAGACCTGCTCCATCAGCTCATCCAAACCTGAGAGGAGTTGTCGTTATGTAGTCAACATACATGTCTGTTTCTATAAGACATTCTAGTTATTGGAAACACTGACATCATCACTCACTGGCTCTGAGAAATTGTGTAGTAGTATTTCAGGTGCAGTCAGCTTTCTTGGGGATGCCATTTGAGGACTCTAGTGTTACTCAACCTAAGATCTTTAGTCATGTTTTATCAAGCTAGAGTCAGCTACCCTTCCCTCAATAAATCAGTCAATAGTGAAAAGAAGGAAAGGCGGCTTTGTGGTTAGAGTGAGAATGAACCCCATAGGCTCACATATTTGAATGCTTGATGAAGTATTTATCTAATTATTCTTTGTTAATAAAAACTCAAGAGTCAGATATCGGAGTAAGAACCTGAATGATCAGAAAAGCAGCAGAAAAGCTATCGGTGACCTCCTATCTCTTTTGTTCCTCCATTCAAAAGGGCCAAGACCCTCTCTAAGCCCCACCCTACCAATTCCTGTCTATCTGTCCTCAGTCCTCCAAAACCACTATGGTAAATATTAGTCAGGTAGTAGCTAGCTCTGCCCTCTGATTCAAAGCAAACGTAGTGTCAAGAGTGCAATAAAAATATCACACAACAGCTTGGTCCCCAGAACTCTTTGGGAAGGATTATGAGGTCTCACCTTGTTAAAGGAGGTGTGTCCCCAGGTGTAGGCTTTGAGGTTTCAAAAGCCCATACCATTCCTAGTTAGCTCTCTCTAACTTGTGCTTGTGAAGCAAGATGCAAGTTCTCAGCTACTGCTCCAGCACCATGCCTGCTTGCCTACTGGTATTCTCCCTACCATGGCGGTCATGAATTCTAGCCCTCTGAAGTTTTCAAGGCCCCAATCTTTTATATGTTGCCTTGATCATGCTGTCTCATCACAGCAAACGAAAATGAACCAAAACAGGGATATTTATTCAATGTGGCTACACTGGGAAGAGGGACACAAAGATCCATGCACAACTGTCCTCCTCCCAAGAAGATGTCCTCCTCCCAAGAAGATGTCTTCCTCTCATTTTGGGAGTTCTGACTTGAGGGTAGGATTTAAATAGAAGATAATGGATATGCATAGCCAAGCTGTCTGGCTAAAGGTGAGAGCCCTGTTCACAACTGACTCAGATTTAAGTCAAGATCATCAGACAAGCTCATCACCCGATGCCCCCAGGGTTCCAGTTTTTTCTTCTCCATCAGGAGATTCCTGGGAGAATTCTAGTTTCTTTCTTTTTTTCTTCCTGTTTTTTTTTAAATTAAGTTAGAAACAATCTTGTTTCATATGTCAATCCCAGCTCCCTCTCCCTCCCCTCCTACCCATCCCTCCCCACCAGCCCCCAACCCCAGATCCCCACCCAATCTCCACTCTGATCCTCAGGGAGGGTGAGGACCTCCATGGTGAATTCTAATTTCTTGGGGTCCACAGTTTCAATAGTCTGACACTAAAGGGAAGGATACAGGACAGGCTGGTTACACTAGCAATCGTGTGAGATAGCCAGGCTCTGCTAATTAGTTTCCAAGCTTCGCTTCTTCATTTCATCAAGCAATATTATGAGAACACATGATTATACCATGTTTTTTATTTTTTATTATTTATTTTTAAGTTTAAATTTAGATTAGAAACAAGGTTGCTTCACAAGTCAGTTCCAGGGCCCTCTCCCTTTCCCTCCCGTACCCTCTTTCCAGGCCCCCATTATCCCCTCATTTCCCCAGGGAGGGTGAGGCCCTCCATGGGGGTGTCCATAGTCTGTCATTTCATCCAGGGCAGGGCCTAGACCCTCCCCCAAGAGTTCAGGGTGAGAGTTCATCTCACATTGTTGGATGAGAGTCCAAAGTCCATGTGTATACTCGGGATGAATACTGATCTACTGTCCAAGGCTCAATAGATTACCTAGGCCTCCTCATTGACACTCACATTCAGGGGGTCTTGATCAGTCCCATGCTGGATTCCCAGGCTGATGCCTGGGATTCAAGAGTTAACCCTTGTCAGGCCAGCTGTTTCTGGGGTTAAACCAGCCCAGTCGTAATCCCTTTGGTCATCAGTCCTCACTCTCTGTTACTGGCTTTCTTGAGTTCAGCTCAGTGCTTAGCCATGGGAGTCTGCCTCTTCTTCCATCAGCCACTGAATGAAGTTTCTGTTTCCCAGAATCTCTGGCAATGGGATTGTAGGCTGGCACTCCCCAGATCTATGTCTAAAATCCATATATGAGAGAGTACATGCCATGTTTCTCTTTTTGTGACTGGGTTACCTCACTCAGGATGGTTTCTTCTAGTGTCATCCATTTGCCTGCAAATCTCAGGATTCCATTGTTTTTTTCTGCTGAATAGTACTCCATTGTGTAAATATACCACATTTTCTCTATCCACTCTTTGGTTGAGGGGCATCTGGGTTGCTTCCAAGTTCTGGCTATTACAAATAATGCTGCTATGAACATAGTGGAACAGACATCCTTGTTGTATGAATGGGCATCTTTTGGATATATGCCTAAGAGTGGAGTTGCTGGGTCTTGTGGTAGGTTTATTCTCATTTTTCTGAGGAATCTCCATACTGATTTCCAAAGTGGCTGAACCAGTTGGCACTCCCACCAGCAATGGAGGAGTGTTCCTCTTTCACCACATCCTCTCCAGCATAAATTGTCATTGGTGTTTTTTATTTTAGCCATTCTGACAGAAGTGAGATGGTATCTCAGAGTTGTTTTGATTTGCATTTCCCGGATGGCTAAGGATGTTAGGCACTTGTGAATTCGAGGCCTGGCTTGACTGACAGCCTCCAAAACAATACAGAGAAACCCTGTCTTGTAAAACCAAAAATATATATATGTATATTTCTCAAGTGCCTCTCAGCCATTTTAGACTCCTCTATTGAAAATTCTCTATTTAGTTCTGCAGCCCACTTTTTAATTGGACCCTTTTATATCATGTTTTAATAGTCATTTTTCTGACCATTGTTACCAAATACCCTACAGAGAAGCCATTGGAAGGATGAAGGTTTTCCTTTGGCTCTCATCACGGCAGAGAAGGCATAGCAGCAGGAAAGGTGGGAGAAGCCCAAGGCTGTTTGCTCAAACCTGGGTGAGTGAGGAAGCACATATCTTCACAGAAAGACCAGGCTACTGAGGCCTGACCCCTCAGTGACCTTCCTTCCTCTCTCTGAGCTCTCACCTCTCAAATGTTCTGCAACCTCCCCAAACAGCACTTCTAGCTGTGGTCTGATAGTCAAGCCCGCGAGTTTTTGGGAGACAGTTTACATCCAACCCCAACAGATTTCAGCTGAGTAAGGAAGGTGGGATGAGGTGGTGGCGCTAAGTGGATCTGAGTCACATCATGCCCCAGCTCAGTCAGAGAAGTTCCCTCAGGTTTTGCTGACTGGCTGATCCTGGTCCCACCAGTGGCTCACAGAGGTAAAGAGCATGTCTTTGTGCGACAACCTCATCACCTCCAGTTCCTGTAGCAACAGCTCTAATGCCAGCTGCCAGACACAAATCCCAGTTCCACTTCTCCCAAGCTGGGGGACTCTGACAGGTTACCTCATATGAAACTCTGACAGGTTAGCATATGAAACTGTGGTTTTCATGCGTAAATTTCCATACATACATATCATAGCACCTTGCTTACATACACCTACATTCATTGCTCCACTTACATTCACCCTTCACTACCCTCTTTCTTTCCACTGTTTCCCTTGCTCTCCCATATGGACCGATCACCTTCTGTTCTCATCTCTTTCACACAAACACATGTGTGTGCACATGCAAACACACACACACACACACACACACACACACACACACACACACAGAGGTTGGGGGAGACTATGAATGTTCCCAAGAGAAACTTTACTTACATTGGACCTTCTGCAAGTCTGGTTAACCTGATAAGAAATTCAATGGCCATGGATAGATTGGGACATTGTAGGTCTAGAGCCCAATTAGAATTTATCTTTCACTCTCTTCCAACCCTCTTAATAGCTAGTCTTGTGTCTGACCTAACATCCCTTTGTGTCAGACCTAACATTCCTCCACCACTAAGTGAAACTTTTCAGAATGCATTAACTTAGCAGACCACTATCTCCCACCAACCAAAGTCTAATAATGTCATCAGACAGTGCCAGAGACCTACAGCAGAGGCTGTTTCACTGTTATGTAACCCAACTCACCTGATATCTCCACCACTATATTGGAAAATTGTCATGATATATGATTTTCTTTAATCTACTTCTATAAAAGTTCATGAAACTCTTACCATGTGGTATTTGAGACAACCGGAATCTCTGTTCCAGGACTGTGGTCACTCATATTGGGCTGTAGAATGCATTATTTCTTATCCCTTTAGGGATGAGAGTTATGTTTTCGCTTTGGCGATGGAAACATTTTTTGAAGTCTACATATAAAAGAAGACATGAGATTTTTGTCCTTTTCAGGAAAATTCTTAAAACACTATGTCTTATTCCTTTGTCTAAAAAAATGGAAAAAGACAGTTTTGTCTTTCTCCCAGGATGCTATGAAGAGTAAGCAAGAAGGTAGAACAGTGGCTGCCTCCATGGTGTTGAATTTTGTGGTTTCAGTGGTCAATTGAGGCAAGAAAGTATTCAATGGAAGTTTCTAGAGTAAGTAATTTGCATTTCCAAGTGTGCACACACACACACACACACACACATACACAAGTAGGAGGAGCCTAGTGGGAATAAGCAGGGGGCTATCAGGAGTGGAAGGAGAATAAAAGGAGTACTGGGGTGAATATGTTCACAATGAATTATATGGATATATGACATATTCAAAACTAAAAATAGTAATTCCTTTTAATCTTAAGAATTTAATTGGTGGTTGTCATTGGAAATGGCATGCTATTTTGGTATTAATTTCATGTGGGGTTGATATGTACCTTTTTTCTGTTTTTTTGTTTTTTAAATCGTTTTTATTTTTTTATCTAAATACAGTTTCCCCTCCTACCTCCAGCTGCTTCCCACCTTCTCTCCCATCTGAATCTATGCTATTTCTGTCTCATTGGGAAAGAACAAGCTTCTAGGAGATCACAACAAAACACGATAAAATAAAATATAATAAGGTAAAAACAGCCATGTAAAGAGAAGCTTTTTCCTTGCTAGCCACTTTGGTTTATCCCCCGCCAGCCGCCTGGGCTCTGCCGCATTGTAGTCCCCAAATAAACACACAAGACGCTATATTAATTATGAAGCTGTTGGCCTTGCTTTTCTCTTACTGGCTAGCTCTGCTTTAAGTAATTACCCCATAATTGTTAATCTAAGTATGTCTCTTACCGGAGAATAGTTCCGGGCTCCTACCCCATGGCGTTACATGTTGACTCTCTGTGTTTCTCCTTCCCAGAATCCTCCTGGATTCCTAGTCCCACCTATCTAGATTCCTATTGGCCAGACAGTGCTTTATTAACATAAGACTTCCCCAACATCTCCTCTTTTCTGTTTAAACAAAAAGAAAGGTCTTAACTTTAACATAGTCAAATTGTATATAACAGAACAGTTATCAAGTAAGAACATAGTTACAATATTTTAGCAAGATTTAAAGAAATATCATCCATCCCATCCTTGTGAGTCCAAAGTTCTATGTAGCTTATATTTTATCATAACTAAGGAAAACTGTAACTATAACTATCTGTCTTCAACTCCATCAAAGACCACAGAAGGATAATATATGAACACTAGGATTTACAGAGACATCTTACTGCCTGGACATTCATCCGAAGTTCCTCTGTAATGTTGGGGCATCCATTTTCAGCCCATAGGCCACAATGTGTCTGGAACACTTCTCAGCAAAGCAGGAAATTTCAAACTGTCCATCTGCATTGGCAGTATGTCAGTCATTTTTCTGTGTCCTGCAGAAAGTCTGGTAGACTCTTCCATGAAGCAGGAACCCTGTAAGACTGAGTTCAGCAGTCACTTTTTTGTGGGTTCTGCATGTTCAGTTTGTACAGCAACAGTCAAACAGTCTAGGCAAGAGCAGTTTCTTGCCCAAATGGCTAATCTTGCCATGTTGAAAGCAAACTCCATAACGAGTTTTTTCGATGCCCATCTTCCTCTCAGACATAATTGGTGCTGCCAGGAGCAGACATTTCTCATTGTCAAGAAAAACCCTAAACCATTTTAAATGCCATTTTCTGAAGGTCTTTGAGAGGTTTGAAGACTATCTATCTGTCTCAAATACATCTCTATATATCTAGAAAACCTAACTTACCTAACTATAAGTTCTGACTATTATATGTAAATATCTATAGTCTGTATTCAATTATGCATTATGTTTTAAAAGAGCAGTATAAGCACAATACTTAATCAAGAGGAGAAATATAAGCATCACAAAATTGACCTTGAATTTGTATCAATAAATGAAAAACAATACCCATACCATAATTCCCCTTTTTACCATTAAAAAAAGATTGGCTGTGATCATTAGCCAATTATAAACAACCCCATTTAAATGAAAAGAAAGATTTATAAACAAGATGGGAATTAGGACGTCGCTCATTCCAAACTGCTTCATGCTGGAAGGGGGCACTGTTCATACCATGGGGATCATGACAAAACTCAGAAACCTGTACAAGTCCTTATTTTCGTGGTCTGTAAAGCTCCATCATCTTAGCTGTTTCAGTTATTGGAACACCTGGTCCACTGCTTCCGGGGGTCTTGGTTGGTGAAACCACAGAAGCTTGGAAGGAATCCTCAGCTTTTCATTTTCTGTGGAAACATAAACTAAAACTCCTTTTCCGAGTAACATATCCTTATACTTAAATTCTGAAGTCAAGGCATTTTTAAAAGATATAAGTTGAATTAATTCAGCAGCATTTATAATCAAGTGTACTTTAGTTGTTCCTTCCTTAGCAATCAAAAAACTGAAAAACATAATAGCATACAGTATCCAGACTCTCTGTGTATTTTCCATCTTTACGTGGCTTATTTATTTATCTATTATTATTATTATTATTACTCTATTTCTTTCACTTTTATTTATTTTTCTCTGAGACAGGATTTCTCTTTGGAAATCTGCCTGCCTCTGCCTCTGGAGCAATTCCTACCGGCGTGCGCTACCACAGCCGGCTTCTTTATTTTCTCTCTCAATCTTACGTATATTTTTAAACACACTGTAAACCTTTAGAGGCTTTTCTTTATCCAAGTCTGACTTTACAGCAAATCTTTGTGTTTTTCTGGCCACGTGTCTTATCTGTTAAAACCGCCGCAGTTTAAACTGCGGTTTCCAAGATGGCGGGCGTAAGCGTGATTCCAGCTTACCGCCTCAGTCCATGCTGACATCCAGCAAAAGCTGCCACTTCCAGCTGTACGTACACACCTTTCAATCATTAGCAGAGTCTCTTAAAACAACCTTGGTGGTTTTTTTGTTGTTGTTGTTTTTTATTTTTTGGTTTTCTTTTTATGCCGAGTCAGGAAGACTCTGGTAAGCCAGCCACGTGAATCTTGGCTTGTGGCTAGCAAAATAGAGCACACCTGAGAAAAATGCTGCTACCAAAATCTGTGCTTCTCTCTGTTCTTCTGTTTCTAAAATTCCTTTAAAGCTTTTGTTGTTTTGCGTGGAAATTTAATCCCGATTCTGACAACCATTCTGTTAACAGAAACCTTTTCTTTGAGAGGAGCCTTCCCACCAGCCTGGTTCTAGAGCCGCATCAGTCCCAAATAAACACACAGGAGGCTATATTAATTATGAAGCTGTTGGCCTTGCTTTTCTCTTACTGGCTAGCTCTGCTTTAAGTAATTACCCCATAATTGTTAATCTAAGTATGTCTCTTACCGGAGAATAGTTCCGGGCTCCTACCCCATGGCGTTACATGTTGACTCTCTGTGTTTCTCCTTCCCAGAATCCTCCTGGATTCCTAGTCCCACCTATCTAGATTCCTATTGGCCAGACAGTGCTTTATTAACATAAGACTTCCCCAACACAGCCGGGTGGTGGTGGCGCACGCCTTTAATCCCAGCACTCGGGAGGCAGAGGCAGGCGGATCTCTGTGAGTTCGAGGCTGGGCTGGACCGATAGCCTCCAAAACAATACAGAGAAAGCCTGTCTCGTAAAAACCATATATATATATATACGTATATATATATATATATATATATATATATGTAAAAACAAAAACTGTCATATTGAAGTAGGATCAGATAAGGCAACAGAAAAATAAAAGAGCCTCAAGAAAAGGCACAGGAATCAGAGACCCACACACAGAACTGTCTGTCTAGATAATTGTGCAGTCTATCCCTTCTATCTCTCTGTCTGTGACCACTCTGAGTTATCTGTCTAGTATTGTGCTCTGTCTATCTAATCTATGCCTTTGTCTGTGTCCACACAGAGTTGTCTGTCTATAAAGATGCTCAGTCTATCCCTTCTATCTCTCTGTCTGTGTCCACTCAGAATTGTCTGTCTAGAAACTTGCTAAGTCTATCCCTTCTTTGCCTCTGTCAGCATTCAAAGAGATTTGTCTGTCTAGAAACATGCTCAATCTATCCATTCTATGCTGTTGTCTGTGTCCATACAGAGTTGTCTTTCTAGAAATGTGCTCAGTCTATCCCAACAATTCCTCTGTCTGTGTCCACACAGAGTTGTCTATCTAGAAACTTGCTCATTTTATCCCTTCTATGCCTCTGTCTGTGTCCACTCATAATTGTCTGTCTAGAAACTTGCTCAGTCTATTGCTTCTTTGCCTCTGTCAGCATCAAACAAAGTTGTCTGTCTAGAAATTTGCTCAGTCAATCCATTCTATGCCATTGACTCTCTCCACACAGAGTTGTATGTCTAGAAACTTGCTCAGTCTATCCATTCTATTCCTTTCTCTGTATCCACACAGAGTTGTTTGTCTAGAAATGTGCTCAGTCTACCACTTCTATGCCTCTGTCTGTGTCCGCACAAGGTTGTCTGTCTAGATACTTGCTCAGTCTATTCCTTGTATGCCTCTGTCAGTTTCCACTGTGAAAGATTTTGCACGTTTCTAGACAGAAAATTCTGTATGGATATAGGCAGAGAGACAGAAGGGATAGAGACCCACTTGTTTACACATCCAGGAGTCTCATAAAAAAGGACTAAACTGGAAGGATCCCAGCACTGGGGAGGCAGAGGGAAGTGTATCTCTGTGAGTTCCAGGCCAGTCTGGTTTACAGAGTGAGTTCCAGGACAGGCTCCAAAACTACAGAGAAACCCTGTCTCAAAACACAAAACAAAACAACAACAACAAAAAGACCCAGAGTCTGGCCACACTTCATTCTTGGCCTCACCTACACCCCCTGTCCTCTGCTGCAGTAAGTGTGGGTTCTAGTCACTGTCCAACTCCCTCCAACTCACCCCCCTTGCATCTTCCTGGGCCTGCTCCACATAGAGAGGACCCGTCCAAGCAGGAGAGACCACCCGAAGTCTGGCCACACCTCAGTCATGGCTCCCATTCGCTCTCTGCCCTCTGCCCTCCACTTGAGTCTTGGAACCCCTAAGCCCTCCACTTGAGTGAGGAGAACATCTGGAGAGGCCAGACCATCCAGAGTTGCAGACACTGAAGTCTTGGCCCACATACACCACTGGGAGACTAGAGGAGACAGAGAGACCCCACCTGCACCCATTTGAAGAAGGGATGGGAAGATGGCAGTATAAGAACACACTCAACAACAGGAAGACCAATAATGATACCACCAGAATCTAGGGACTCTATATCAGCAAGACCTGAACATTCAAAAGCAGATGAAGCAAAAGAAAATTACCTTAAGAACAACTTTATGAAGATATTAGAGACCCTCAAAGATGAAACGAGAAACTCCCTTAAAAAATGGAAAAAATTAAGGAAATGGAGGAAAAAGGCAAGCAAAAAAAAACCAAAAATACAAATTCCTTAAAGAATGCAAAGAAAGCCAAGAAAAAAACATCGAAACAAGTGAAGGAAACAATTCAAACAGTTTAAGACTTGAAAACTGAAATAGAAAAAATAAAGACAACACAGAATGAGGGAATGCTGGGAATAGACAAACTGGGTAAATGATCAGGAACTACAGAAGTAAGTATAGCCACTAGAATACAAGAGATGGAAGAGACAATCTCAGGTGTTGAGGACTCACTAGAGGAAATATAATCATTGACTAAAAAAATCTCAAGTCTATCAGATCCCTAACACAAAATATACAGGAAATATGGGACACCATGAAAAGACCTAACCTAAGAATAATAGGTATAGAAGGTGAAGAAATGCAGTTCAAGAGTACAGAAAACATATTCAACAAAATCATAGAAGAAAACATCACCAACCTAAAGAAGGAAATGACTATGAAAGTACTATGAGGCTGCCCACTCTCTCCATATCTCTTAAATATTGTTCTGGAAGTTCTAGCTAGAGCAATAAACCAACAAAAGGAGATCATTGGGATACAAATTGGAAAAGAAGAAGTCAAACTTTCACTATTTACAGATGATAGGATAGTTTACATAACTGACCTGAAAAACTCTACCAGGGAACTCATGAAGCTAATAAACACCTTCAGTAAAGTGGTAGGAAACAAGATTAACTCAAACATAATATATCTTGGGGTAAAGCTAGCCAAACAAGTGAAAGACCTGAATAGCAAAAACTTTGAGTCTTTAAAGAAAGAAAATAAAGAAGATACCAGAAATGTAAAGGTCTCCCAGGCTCATGGATAAGGAGGTTCAACATAGTAAAAATGGCAATCATGCCGAAAGCAATTCAACGATTCATTAAATCTCTATCAAAATGCCAACACAATTCTTCACAGACCTTGAAAGAATAATACCAAATTTTATATGGAAAAACAAAAAACCCAGAATAGCCAAAACAACCCTGTATAGTTAAGGAACTCCAGAGACATCACCATCCCTGACTTCAAGGTCTCCTACAGAGCTCTAGTCCTGAAATCTGCTTTGTATTGGCACAAAAATAGGCAGGTAGACCAATGGAATTGAATTGAAAACCCTGATATTAATCCACACACATAGGAACACCTTATCTTTTATAAAGAAGCTAAAGTTACACAATGGAAAAAAGAAGGCATCTTCAACAAATGGTGCTGGCATAACTGGATACTGATATGTAGAAGATTGCAGATAGATCCATCTCTATCACCATACACAAAACTTAAGTCCAAATGCATCAAAAACCTCAACATAAATCCAACCACACTTAACCTCTTAGAAGAGACAGTGGGAGGTACCCTTGAATGAATTTGTAATTGAGACAACTTCCTGAACATAACACGAGTAGCACAGACACTGAGATTTATAATTAATAAACAGGACCCCCTGAAACTGAGAAGCTTCTATCAGGCAAAGGACACAGTCAGCAAAACAGAACAGCAGCCCACAGAATGGGAAAAGATCTTCACCAACCCCACATCTGACAGAGGACTGATTTCCAAAATATACAATGAACTCAAGAAGCTACCCACCAAAATACCAAACAATCCAATTAAAAAGTGTAGTACATATCTATATAGAGAATTCTCAATAGAGGAATCTAAAATTGCTGAAAGACACTTAAGAAAGTGCTCAACATACTTAGTCATCATGGAAATGCAACTAAAAACACCTCTGAGATACCATCTTACAATAGCCATAATGGGTAAATCAAAAATAGTCTGTGCTGGAGAGGATGTGGAGAAAGAGGAACACTCTTCCATTGCTGGTGGGAGTGCCAGCTTTTACAACCATTTTGGAAATAAGTAAGGCAGTTTCTCAGGAAAATGGGAATCAGCCTACCTCTAGATCAAGCAATCCCACTCTTGGGCATATACCCAAATAATGCTCATTCATATAACAAGGACATACGTCCAATTATGTTCATAGCATCATTGTTTGTAGTAGTCAGAACCTGAAAGCAAAATAGATGTCCCTCAAGCCAAGAACGGATGGAGAAAATGTGGTACATTTACACAATGGAGTATTACTCAGTGGAAAATACAATGATATCTTGAAATTCACAGGCAAATTGATGGAACTGGAAGAAAACTTCCTGAGTGAGGTAACCCAGTCACAGAAAGACAAGCAGGGCATGTACTCACTCATATATGGATATTAGACATGCAGCAAAAGACTACCAGCCTAAAATTCACACCACCAGTGAAACTAGGAAACAAGGAGGACTCTGAGAGAAGAGCACATGGTCACCCAAAGAAAGGAAGGGGGACAAGAATCCTTGAGCAAGTTGGGAGCCCTGAGGGAGAGGGGGGATGTGGGAAGGGGAGAGGAGGAGAACAGGAGGGATCAGGATGACTGAGACAGAGGAGGAATAAAGGAGGGCAAGAAAGGAGATGCCTTGATAGAGGGAGCCAGTATAGGTTTGGAGAGAGGTCTGGCACTGGAGAAATATTCTGGGATCCACAGGGATAACACCAACTAAGAATCTAGGCAGTGGTGGAGAGCCTGCCTTTGATGCCCTTCCCCTACAATGAGATTGATGACTACCTTGGTTGCCATTCCTAGAGCCTTCATCTAGTAGCTGATGGAAGCAGAAGCAGACACCCACATCTAAGCTCTGAGCCATACTCCTGGAATCCAGTTGTAGAGTTGTAGAGAGCAAAGGAGCAACGACTGTGCTGGAGAAACCCACAAAAACATTTGACCTGACCTAGTGAGAGCACAGAGACCCTAGTAGTAAAGCTGGGAAACCAGCATTGGACCAAACCAAGCCTTCTGAATGTGGGTGCCAGCTAGGAGGCCTGGGAAGTCTATGGCACCTCTAACAGTGGAGCCAGAGGTTATCCCTAGAGCTCAAATGGACTTTGGGAACACATTCCGTATGGAGGGATAGATACTATTGCAGCCCAGGTACATGAAAGAGGTCCTGGGTCCTTCCCCAAATGATGTGATGA